GAGTATTGGAATTTTGAACTTGTTGATGAAGTTCTTGAAATTGAACGTATTGTAAAGTTAGGTACAACTGTGGGTAATTGAAGTTATAAAATTAAAATTAGTAAAATTAAAAAAAGTTTAGTTCAATTTTGTTAATATTTTTTTTTCAATTTTATCATTTTCAATTCTAAAACTCTAGTTCCACCAATAGCCCATAAAAATTATTCAAAGGAATTCCCCACAAAAAATTCCCCACTCTAGCCGTTCAATTTTACAACTAAATTATATAAAATCAAATGGTCAAACCCCATAAAATCAAATTAAACTCTAATATGATATAAATTCTTTCGATCCACATGATATGATGATTGATGAACCTAGGTAAGTCCAATAAATTTGTTTGAAAAGATAGTGAAAAAAGAAAGTGTTAGAAATTGAATATTACTAGTAGGTTTTTTTTTTTTTTTTTTTTTTTTTTTTTTTCCTAAATGAAGAAAAATTTTATAAGATATAACAATATAGTACAAAAAAAAAAAGTGAAGACATTTCTTCACTAAGACACACAAGCACATCTAGGGAAGAGCAGACAAAACCTGCAACAACCTTAAACTCCTATAAACTTAAAAAATCTTGAAGACTAATTCCAGCAATATCAAGAGCATCCTAGACAATGCATTTGACTAGGAATGAAGGAGATCGAATAACATAAGTATGAAGTCTACCATTCCGTTCATTCCATAAATAATACATAGAAGCATTTCAACTCTCCTAGAGTTATTCAAAATATATAATTCACAAATTTTGAAATAATTTTGAAATATCCAATATATTACATTAATAAATGTATTGTGAAATATGTCACATAAATCTAAGGTTATGATTATTTGGTGAAAATCAATACAAATTTGAGAATTTTTAAAAAGTCACATAATTATAATGTCATGCCAATTATAGCCCTAATGCACCACCTCACCGGTTCACCCCAACTAGACATGGTTCGGCTCTCTGCTTCTGATATTAATTATGTCCAAGCAGTTTTAATTTAACTACTAGATGGTTGTATATTTTTTGATATGGGAAAATTATAGTGCCGGTTTGCATGAGTGTGTAAATATGAGTGTAGGCCACTGAAAAAAAAAAAAAAAAAAAAAAAAAAATGCTAAAAATCAGTTTAGTTCACAATTGAACTAATATACATTGTAGGACCGGATTTCCCACTATTGTAGGAGCCGATTTCGTGTTAAGATACATATCTAACAGTATAACGTTGTTTCACAAATAACTCAGTGCACGGTCAGCATGCTCATTTTGCTTTTTACAAGTGATTTTTTATTTTTTTTAAAGTTTTGGATAAAATAAAGTGCACATATATATATATATATGGGGGCTAAAAACACACCCACAGTTACTTTGCTTACTATATTTTAATCCACTATTACTATATTTTTACCACCTTAATATTCAATATATGAACATTATTCACCGACCTACTCAACTCCCAGTATGCTCATGTTAATTTAATTAGAATATTTAAAGAGGGACAAGACTGGACCACCACTTATTGTAGCTAGTGATGATGCCCCCCACTTATTCACAGTTCACACAAATGATTAGGCCATATTCATGAATATGCTACCAAATTAAAGCCCACCGTTGAAAACCGCAACTTCAAGTCTCTAATTAATAAGATAAGATGTTCATATGATTTGTCATATGATAAAGTAACAAAAACGGATCCGGGCTTTTATTAATTTTCTATTTATGAATAATTTTAGCTATTATAAACTTATATATTATTATTAATTTTTTTTAAAACTATCTAATTTTTATAATCGTTCGAACATGTGAGGGTGCATAGTGATTGGAGTCATTCGACCCATCACATTTTATACATTTTAAATTTGACATTAATTAATGTGAAATACACACATGCATGCACATATAAATTTTACACTGCCCCATCTATAATGTGTAATTTTTTTATGTAGATCCGACATGACACATGAACGTGGTTGGTTATTATTGACAAATACATTTTTATACAAAAACTATAAAATAATAACTGTAGTTAAAGAGAAGTAGTCCATAATTTTGATTTTGATGTAAATCTAGTATGACACATCATATGTATAAAAATAAAAAATATATATATACAATGATCTTATATTTCATGTTTAAGTTTATATATATATATACTTATATAAATATTGAAATTGAATATACATACTCATGTATGAAAAGAAGACCACGAAGGGTGCTTGTATCGATCAGACCAGATGACCGAAGCCCACATGTGAAGATGGATAAGGCATATATATGAGCAATAATGTCAAGATGCCGATGCTGACTATATTATATATATAGCCTAATTTTAAAAACTATTGTGATGTCAAAATGACGTTGCAGTAATCATGATGTGGCGGTCTCTACACAAATCTAATGCACGCATTGCCAATGCCATACATACTCATTAGGTGTCTCACTTCTCATTCACCATATTCATTCTCCAGGGTACTTAGACTTTGTTTACTTTCAGGACAGATTAATGCATTAGGTTACCTAGGCTGACATTCATCATCATCGCCATTATAATATCTTGTTGGTTTTCTTATTATCAATAAGGAGGAGGACTACCTGCAAAGATGTCCAGAGGTGGATATATTCGCTACTTTCCTATCTTTTCTACTTTTCTTGCTATTACCTTGACTGCAGGTCTTGCAGCTGTAAATGGAGATGTGGAAAAGGTATGATCACGAATTTAAAAGGTGACAAATGAATGATGTTGTCATGCCAATTAGAGCCCTAGTGGCCACATTTCAAAAAATAAAAGACAATTCCTAAATTATTATGTGGTCCCAATTACACGGTCATAGTACGATACTACTTCTGGATGGCATATTGGCATGTAACACGTAGAGTGGAGGACTACCTGCAAAGATGTCCAGAGGTGGATATATTCGCTACTTTCCTATCTTTTCTACTTTTCTTGCTATTACCTTGACTGCAGGTCTTGTAGCTGTAAATGGAGATGTGGAAAAGGTGTATATGATCACTAAGCTTCTCTCCCTTAATTCAAAGTTTAATAATATTTTATATTATTATAATATATTATATAATCATATGTATAACTTGCAGGATTTTTACATAATTTTCTTGAGAGATCATCCCATCCTTTCGAGAGAACAGTCAGTTGACGAAGAATCTTTGTTTAAGTCACATATTGATGTCCTTTCAACCTTGAAGGGAAGGTTAATTAAATGTCTCTCCATATCTTTATGTATTATACACACGTACGTACTATATCTATATATGTAAGTTTTTATACATTCTTGTACCTATGCTATTTCTTTATTCATGTCATTAATTAATTATATCTTGCTGTACCCGTATTGTAGTCCAAAAAGAAATATTTTCACCCCAATATCACTTCTCTCGATGATTGAAAGCATATATGCACATACTTCAAAAAATTAAAGCTCATGTATAGACCCTTTACGTTATCATCCCTATGTATAAAGGGCCAAGTCCTGGGACACAACCAAAGCCCCTTGTTTCCTTCCATATTTTTCAACCACTCATTCATCACCCTCACCTACTACCACCATTGCGTTATTGAGGTCAATAATTCATTGGAAAACCAGAGATAACAAAATGATCTAGTGCTCGCACCACACCATTAATTGTGGATGCATTTGCCCAATAAGTAAATGATATGATAATTTTAACCTATATATATGAGATTTAGAGTTCGTGAATTGGAAGAGAAGGAGTGAACAAATAACAAAAACTATTTCTAAGAAAATATTGGTGAAAGATACCTTTCAAAAAAAAAATAAAAAAAAATTTGATGATGGTAAGTTCATGCGCATTAACTTAGAAAATTAAAGTTCACCAATAGACAGACATACCACTCCAACATTATATGGTCCCAATTAAACCATCACAGGTTGCTACTCTTTTACGAGGATGGCATGCAACACGTTGAGGGACAAGTCTTGGACAACATAAAGAAACTCTTGACTCAAACCCATTTGTTTGCTTGCATTCTTTTCACACATTATTGTGTGGTGCCATCTCAAATAATACAAAAAGAAAAGTCATTCTTGGTATGATGAAGAACCTCATTCAATCTCTAGTCAATGACTTGTCAAAAAGAGTCATTCAAGCAATTCATAACCCCCCAAAAAGGCCTGGAATATCTTCAAGTTTCCAGAATTGTTTGGCTTTTACAAAAATTATTTTTTAAAAAGTTTTGGGTAAAATAAGTTGCAAAGATATATATATATATATATATATATATATATATATCATGGGCTAGAAACACACCCACAGTTACTTTGCTTAATTACTATATTTTAATCTACTATTACTGTATTTTTACCACCTTAATATTCAATATATGAACATTATTCACTGACCTACTTAACTCCCGGTATGCTTATGTTTCCAAGCCGTTCCCCTAACTTGCAGAGCTTTGCATAATTACAAAGTTAATTTAATTAGAATATTTAAGAGGGACAAGACGGACTACCACTTATTGTAGCTAGTGAAAAATGAGAGAATTTTAAAAGGAAAAAATTAAAAATTTCAAATTAAGGAAAGAAATTTTAACTTTTCTATTAAAGAAATAAAGAAATAATTTTAGGAATCACAAATTTAGATAGCATTGAATAATTTTTTTTATATATATTAAAAAAAAAAATTACCACGTGCGGGCCAACCACAGGGGCACGTGCCCCCTAGTTGGCTCCGTCCCTGATACTCATGTATGTAAAGAAGACCAGGGTGCTTGTATCGATCAGACCAGATGACCGAAGCCAACTTGTGAATGGTGGATGGATATGGCATATGAGCAATAATGTCAAGATGCACTTGCTGACTAATTTTTTTAATATATATATATATATATATATATATATATATTCAACATAATTTTAAAAACTATTGTGATGTCAAAATGACGTTGCAGTCGTGGTCTGTACGCAAACCTAATGCACGCATTGTCAATGTCATACATACTCCTTTTTGATTATCTATATAAGTTTTTCCATTAGCCATTAGGTGTCTCACTTCTCATTCACCATATTCAATCTCCAGGGTACGTAATCTGTCTTATTTTTCATTACTTAGTCTGTGTTTACTTTCAGGACAGATTAAAGCGCGCATTAGGTTACCTAGGCTGACATTCATCATCATCGCCATTATAATATCTTGTTGGTTTTCTTACTATGAATAGGGAAGAAGACTACCTGCAATGATGTCCAGAGGTGGATATATTCGCTACTTTCCTATCTTTTCTACTCTTCTTGCTATTACCTTGACTGCAGGTCTTGTAGCTGTAAATGGAGATGTGGAAAAGGTATATATGATCACTAAGCTTCTCTCCCTTAATTCACAGTTTAATAATATTTTATATTATTATAATATATTATATAATCATATGTATAACTTGCAGGATTTTTACATAATTTTCTTGAGAGATCAACCCATCTTTTCGAGAGAACTGTCAGTTGACGAAGAATCTTTGTTTAAGTTACATATTGATGTCCTTTCAACCTTGAAGGGAAGGTTAATTAAATGTCTCTCCATATCTTTATGTATTATACACACTTACGTACTATATCTATATATGTAGGTTTTTTTGTGCATAATGTAATGTCCATGCATGTTGAAACAGCGATGTTGATGCTAAGGAGTCCCATGTTTATAGCTATACAAAAATCTTCAATGCGTTTGCTGCAAAACTATCTCGAGATGAAGTCAAAAAGTTATCCCGTACGTAACGTGTACAACTTGTTAAATATCATTATTTCATATTTAATTGTTACTTAATAATAATATATGTCTAAAAATGAATGTCTAGGCATGGATGAGGTGCATGCTGTTTTCAAAAATCAATATCAAAAGTTACTTACAACTCGATCATGGGACTTCCTTGGTTTTCCTCAAACCATACGAAGAAATTTGAAAATGGAGAGGGACATTATTATTGGTGTACTAGATTCAGGTTAGAAATGTTGTGTGTGTGTGTGTTTGTGTATTCAATTTAATGAATTTTTTTGAAAACTAATAATGTGTGTACGTGCCCTGGTCAGGTATCACTCCAAATTCAGAAAGCTTTAAGGACGATGGATTGGGTCCTCCACCAGTGAGATGGAAAGGAAGTTGTGGCCCCTTTGTTAATTTTTCAGGATGCAACAAGTATATAATATTCAAATCCTTAATTATATACGGAGTATTTCATTAACTTTAAAGTACCACTAATGATGTTATTAATTTTTAGAAGGTGTTGGTGTTATGTTATAGCAAGCTTATAGGAGCCAAATACTTCAAGTTAGACCAAGAACAACTCCCAGCTGGGGAAATATTGTCACCGGTAGATGTGGAAGGGCACGGGACTCATGTATCATCAACAGCTGCTGGAAGTGTTGTAGCAAATGCAAGCGTATATGGACTTGGTAGAGGGACTGCACGCGGAGCAGTGCCGTCGGCGAGATTGGCTATGTACAAGGTGTGCTGGGGTGGATGTGCAGATATGGACCTTCTTGCTGCCTTCGAAGCCGCTATCAGTGATGGTGTTGATATAATATCCCTGTCTATTGGTTCTCCATCAAAAGATATCTTGACCGCTATAGGAGTGGCTTCATTTTTGGCCATGAGAGCTGGTGTCATCACTGTTGCTTCTGCTGGAAATGATGGACCAACTCCCGGTACCGTCGAAAACCATGCACCCTGGATTTTGACAGTGGCAGCTACTGGTATTGATCGCCAATTCAGGAGCAAAGTTGTGTTAGGCAATGGCAAAACCACTTCAGTAAGTATTATTAATTGGCTAGCTTTGTTATACAACCGTTTAATTACTAATTAACACAACGAATTGCTGTTAATCATATGTTGTTATTGTTGGGATTTATATGCCCTGGCATAACAAATTCCTATCTGGATTATAGTGACATATGTTCCTGACATATCTGAAATATTTATAATTTATATAATTGGTGAATTCAATGTATTATGTTTCGATTCACTATGAGATTGATAGTGTCCATGTAATTACAAGAAATATTTATATATATGTATGTGAAAATATTTATATATATGTATGTGATGGCAATCAATGCATGATATATAAATAGTAATTATAAATTGTTCATAGTCGGTAATTATGGATGGACTCATAATTAATTAAGACTTGAACTGGATCCGCGTTAGGTTGAGATATATTGCGAGAGCCGTCGTATGCAATTACTCCCTATCACCGTTATGGCATTTGACTCTTAAGCATGAGAAAAGTATAGACTCTTTTATTAATTAATAATTACTTTGATTTGTTCGGCGGATTCTTCGGAATCCTTAGACCGACACTTTGGGTAGTTATGTAATTAATAGTTAGAGGGTTATATTTTCAATATTTGCATCATTGCTACTTGTATTTATTTTGTATTGATTATGGTTGATCACAAAGTAAATTCGAAGGCCTTCGTGTGTTTTTAGACAAAATGATTTATTATATATTTATTTATTTAAATTATTATTTTTTGTCAAACAAATGTTTTATTGTGATCTAGCTAGAAATAATCAAAGGTACCAAAATAAATATATTAATTAAGTAGTCGGATTGATGGCTTTATTTATCCGATAACTAATTATGCATAGAGGGGTCAAAGTGCAATATTGACTTAGAGGTTATTTATTATTTAATTGGAGTTCAATTAATTTCTTTTAGTGGAGTAGAAATTAATTTATGAATTAATTTAATTGGGTCCATGGACCGGGCCAATCATTAATTCATTGTAGCCAATAAAATAATAGGCCCAATGGATTCTCACTCATAGCCCAACTTGATATTGGAATCATATTAGATTTGAGACATGTGAATTAGAGATTGAGAAGGATTAGTTGTTTCCTTTTCTTTACCTTTATATTGCCTATAAATATACATGGTCTATGTATATTTGAGGAGTGATTTTTAGTAGAAGGAAAAAGGAATAATTTTTCTCTCTCTAGAAAATTAGGGTTTATGTTCTCATCTAATGGAGGCTCCCACAAGCCTAGTTTTCCAAGGTCATTCATGGAGGCTTATGAGTGATTCCTAAAGGCAAGACCATTACCAAGAAGATGGAGATCCATGGAAAAAATGTCTAGCAAAAGGGATCTACAATAAGTGAGAACATTCACTTTAGAGGAGAGATCTGAGGTTTACTCAAACCTTGATGTAAGTATTCAATCTTTTAGTTGAATGATACATCATATTTTATTTTTGCATAAAACATGTCTCTATGTGATGAATCAAGATCTATGAATTTAAATCACTCGAAAAGTTTTTAAAACTTGCACGTTTCCCAACAGTTATTAATAAATCTACATACGTACAATATTAATGCAGGGAAAGGAAATAAACACATTCAACCCAAAGCGAAAATTTTACCCACTTGTTAGCGGGGCAGATGCAGCCAAAGCATATGCGAGTAAGGAAAATGCAAGGTGTATATATGCTACTTTTGTGTAATTAATTAATTATTCAAGAAAATCAATATTTATATATAGTAATGGTACGTTTAATTAAAGCCTTTTTAAAACTTAACTTGTCGCCTTTGTGGTTATATACAGTCATTGTATTGAGAACTCAATAGACCCTGTCAAGGTGAAAGGAAAACTTGTCTTGTGCAATTTAGTGGAACTTAATACTGATTCTTATATCAAAAGCATTGGAGGGATTGGCACTATCTTCAATGCTGATGACTTAGATATCGCTGAACCAATTTACATGGCACCAGCAACCGCAGTGAATTCCACCGAAGTTGAACCCATTAATGACTATATACACTCTCAAAGGTAACTATATTACTATATTTCTAGGCCACTGCGATATACCATATTACAATATTCATGACCAAATTAAAATGTTTCATTATTTAATAGAAGGAATGATTAGGTTTTTATGTATGTGTTTCAGATCTCCATCTGCAGTGATACATAAGTCACAAGAAGTTAAAATCCCAGCTCCATTTATGTATTTTGCCTCATCTCGGGGTCCAAGTCCAGGATCAGAATACATTCTCAAGGTGTGTGTGTGTGTGTGTGTGTGTGTGTTTGTTTGTGTTAATTACAAGGGTTTGTACCTTCTTCCATAAACCAAATATTATCATAAAATAAGGCCTCTTACTCAAATAAACTTGCTCATTTGATGTATAATGGAACAGCCTGATATTGCAGCTCCGGGTGTTGGTATCTTGGCAGCATACACCCCTCTGGCGACACTTACCGGGCGTAAAGGTGACACCCAACATTCGAAATTCTCATTCATGACTGGAACTTCTATGGCATTTCCACACATTAGTAGTGTAGCTGGCTATGTAAAGTCATTCCACCCGGATTGGCCCCCGACTGTAATAAAATCCGCTATAATGACAACTGGTAGGACCAACCTATCTTCTCATTTCTTCTTTGATTTTTAACTAAGTTGATTATGGCCAATATTTTTAGGACTTGAATTACTTATATCACAATGTACATTCAAAAGTTTCCAAGCAATTTTAATAAGAAGTACTTGCAATAAAGTTTTCCCTATAGTATAATTCCTTTGTATAATCCTCCTAAATTTGTTTATTGCTATGCTGAGACATGGCTTAGCCCTCTTTATATAATTTTCATGCATGCTCTTAATTAAACTTTCTTGAAATATTTGTGTGGATAGTGATGCTGAATTCGCCTACGGTGCCTGTCAAATGAACCCAACTAAAGCAGTGAACCCCGGCCTAGTCTACAACATTGGTAATGAAGATGATTACATTCCATTTCTATGCCGAGAGGGCTACAGTGGATCCATTCTTGCCTTATTATTCAGTTATAATGTGAATTGCTCGGATTATCCTCCTCCAACAAGTCATGATGCTCTTAACTATCCCACTATGCAACTTCACTTGAAAAACACTCAACGCCCAACCACAGTCGTTTTCCAAAGGACGGTCACTAATGTTGGTCCTTCTCCATCCATTTACAATGCCACCATTACAGCACCCAAAGGAGTGGAGATCACTGTCAAGCCCATGAGTCTCTCCTTCTCTACTGCCTTCCAGGAGCGGAACTTCAGGGTCGTGGTGAAAGCGCAACCCATGTCTAAGGGTGTAAAAATTATATCATCTTCGCTCTCATGGAGAAGCTCTAGACATGTTTTCAGGAGTCCAATTGTTATTTATCAATGAGAAGATCGACTTACCCTGCAACGGATCATGAAATGTTATGAAAATGCAAAAAGGATGAAGCGCATGATCAAAAATAAATATGGAAGATAATCCAATGTACATGATTTAGGAATACTATGTTTGTGTGCGCGTGTTTGTGTATATGCATTGCACCTCTCTCAGATGTAAGTTTTTTCGTGATGTATCACGAATTGACAATTTATCTAGTTTATCACACTATATGAATTTTATTTTATTGAGGATTCCTCCATGAAGAAACTCCAATCTATAATTCAAGTGTATAAATCAATCAAATGATGAAACATTTCCAAATCAAATAAAAATTAATAAGGACATATATTCCTTGTTTTAATCCATACGGTCAACAGATAAGATGAGTCAAGGTGGGCCAAGGTGAGTATCAGCAAGAACAAAGGGAATCGATTAATTAAAGTTGGTGAAAAAGTGTTGTATTGTCATGTATTGTGTCCATTTTGGGCTAAATGAGAATATCTGTCATGTATTGTGGGACTATCAATAATAGTTGGCGTTTTTGCTTACCAAAACCATCTCAACTAAAGCCTTTATACGAATAAGGGCGAAGTGCAAGGTTAACTACATGTCATACAGGATACCACTTTAGACTCTTCAAATCTTTCCCTTGTGATAAATTGAAAATTAAATACCGAATTTTAAGCAATAGGAATTTAAAATCTATTTGATATTATGTTAATTTTAAGTTAAAACCCGGGATTAAAAAAATAAAAAATTAAAAAATTAAAGTTCTCCTGTAGACCCCACCTACATTATCATCATGGGATGCATGAAGGGAAAAGTCGACAGAAACAGAATCTCATGACTCAAAGCCCTTTGTTTGCTTCCATATTTTTCATCCACTCATTCATCAATCTCACCAAAGACCACAATTTACATTATTGAGGTCAATAATTCATAGGAAAACCAAAGAATATACATGACAATTTTTTTTTTTTTTTCCTTCTGGTAAATAAGTGAATAATTAAAGTTGAACTTGGACTAAAATCAAAGAACATATAAATGACACATTGTATCAACAAGTAATACGAATCATGCATGATTCACACTAATTACTAAATAAAAGTGCACGTAGCTATAGACCATTACTACATTGAATATTATTTATTTATTTTTTATTTTTTGGTTATTGAGTATATTTTATTTATTTTTTATTTTTTGGTTAAGTCACTACTACATTGGTGATAAGGCCATGTAGACATTACTACTAGGATTAACATATGGTCCAAATAGCAACACACAGACTGATTGGAAAATTAATGTTCACCAGCACACACAGACCATTCCAACATTATATGGTCCTAATGAAAGAAGTTTTGCATAATTACTTAATTTCAACTCGATCATTAGTTGAAAATGCATCAGATTTGTGTTAATTTTATTTATCAATTTGTTTACATATTAATTAGTGATGGATCGGGATTAAAAAATTTGAAACCATGTATCATTAGTTGAAAATGCATCAAATTTATGTCAATTTTATTTACTTGTGTCGAGACAAAAAAATCCAAAACCATGTAACAATTTTTCAAAATTCTGAATCTGGCTCAATCATTTAGATGGGATGGACATGTAAATCTTACGTGGAATCTTACATTAGTTAAAACAAAAGGTGAAAGATACTTTCAACCCATTATCCCTCTGAATGATTAAAATTAAAAGACATAAACGTACACTTCAAAAACATAAAGCTCACCTATAGACCCCCTCCCTCCTACATTATCATTGTAGGACATTCTACTTCTGGATGGCATTTAAAATGAAGGGACAAGTCCTGGGTCGAATCTCATGACTCAAAAGGTGAAAGATATTTTATTTTAGTGAGATCCTATTACTACTGGCTTTTAGAATTTATTTATCTGATTGTGTGTTCTAATTCCTCATTTTATTTTCATTTATGTTTCGACCATAAAATTCACCTGCAAAAAGCAAAATGAGCAAAGCATAGAGAGTGTACTGAGTAATTTGTGAAACAACGTTGTATTGTTGGAGTGGGCTAAAAGACAGACATTGATGATGATAAGTTTATGCGTATTAACTTGGAAAATCAAAGTTCACCAATAGACAAAGACCACTCCAACATTATATGGTACCAATTAAACCATTTACGAGGACGGCATGTTACACGTTGAGGGACAAAAACGAAAAGATGCATTTCTCCTTGTCTATATCATTGTTGTAGATGCATTTCTCCTTGTCTATATCATTGTTGTAGTTAGTGATGCTTATTCACAATTCACACATATGATAAAGCCAAAAAAAAAATAATAATAAAAAAAAAACAATGAAATACATTAATGATAAGGCCAGTTCATGAATATGCTACCAAATTAAAGCCCACTGTTGAAAACCACAACTTTAAGTCTCTAATTAATAATATAAGATGTTCATATGTTGTCATATGATAAGGTAACAAAAACGGATCCGGGCTTTTATTAATTTTCCAATTATGAATTATTTTTAGCTATTATAAACTTATTTTCTATTATCAATTTTTAAAAAAAAAAAAAAAAAACTGTCTAATTTCTAAACGTGTAACCGTTCGAAACGTGTGAGGGTGCATAGTGATTGGAGTCATTGGACCCATCACATCTTATATATTTCAAATTTGACATTAATTAATGTGAAATATACACATTCTTATATGACAGTCTGTTAAAATATTATTTCGCATAAAATATACATGGCCTTCCATCATAATGTGTAATAATTTTATTTATGTATTTTATTTTTTAAATATCCAGCAGACGTCACCAATGTATAAAATTTTGTTGTGTATTTTACACAACTTTTTATATATATATTTCTATTCTCCTCTCTTTTTCTCATTCCATTAATGAATCAACCCTATATTAGGTAGGTTTGTAAAAGTTATGTAGTTCCTGATACGTGGTTAGTTGTTATTGACAAATACATTTTTACATAAAAGGTATAAAATAATGGCGGGAGTTAAAGAAAAGTAGTCCAAATTTTTTATTTTTAAATTTTTTTTTTTTTATATCCAGCCGTATGTTAAGATACGTTGTTACGTCACCAATGTATAAAATTGTGTTATGTATTTTACACAATCTTTTTATACATATTTCCTTTCTCCTTCTTCTTTCGCATTCCATTAAAGAATCAACATTTTTACGCAAAAGATATAAAATAATGGCGGGAGATAAAGATAAATAGTTCAAAATTTTTATATAAATCTATTATGATACATCAAATTTAAAAATGTGTATACAATCTTCGCAGATAATCTTATATTTCATATTTGAGTTCCCAATATATATATACTTATATAAATATTGCAATTGAATATATACTTGTGTATGAAAAGAAGACCACCAAGAGTGCTTCTATCGGTTAGTCCAGATGACCGAAGCCCACTTGCGAATGGTGGATGGATATGGCATATGTGCAATAATGTCAAGATGCAGTTGGCAGACTATATATATATATATATATATATATATATATATATATATATATATCTAGCATAATTTAAAAACTATTGTGATGTCCAAATGATGTTGCAGTAAAAGGCTGATTATGGATTGGATCGGTTCGATTTAGGAGTAAAGTTTAATTCAATTCGGTCTCCACGGATTGGTAAAATTTGAAACCGAACATATCTGTGGGGACCTTCAATCTGAACCAAATTGATCCATGAAATAACGAATCGGTTCGATTTCTAAGGATTGAGCTTTTCAAACAGCCCAATATGATTACTCTTTATGTCCATTAAAATCTCAAATTAGTAATTAAAAATCTCAACTGTAATGAAATGTGTATTGAATTTGGGGACCTAAGGTTAACTTAAAGAATAATGAATAAAAAAAAATAGAAATACAGTAAATATATTGTGTGTGTATATATATATATACATAATATATATAATTAAGGTAACGGATCAGATCGGTTTTTTAGAGTCCAATCCGTTAATCGAATAGCGAATAGCGGATTACTATTTTTCTAAACCATTACCGAACCATAAGATCCGAAAATTGAACCAAACCACACGGATTAGATTGGTTCGGACAGAATTGACGAATTGACGAATTATTTGCTCACCCTTCCAGTAATCATGATGTCGCGATCTTTACACAAATCTAATGCACACATTGTCTATATAAGTTTTTCAATTAGCCATTAGGTGTCTCACTTCTCATTCATGTTTGTGTTCAATGACTCGAAAACACGATTCGAAAAACTAATGCAATTAGGTGTCTCCTTTTTTATTGTCTTAATTGTGTTCAAATCGTAATCATATTGACATGAATACAACTTGCCAACACGAATTGCTACTCCTACTCCCTTCCCATTCAAATGCACTATCATACATACTACATCATAATCACAAATGTATTAACACTAATGCAATACAGCTGAGATATTACACTGAACATTAAAACGCTACAATTATGAATTTAACATCTTTACATAGCGTTATCAATTTTGACAAACTGGTGCCCATTTTGGGCTAAATGAAAAGATTTGTCATGTAATAGACTAGAATATCAATAGTTGGAATTAATTAAAATGGGTTTGAACTTTCTTCCTTGGTCAATCTGAACTTTGTGATTGTGGGATTTTTCAAATTCCTGACAATATCATTTTGATGGGTAGGACAAATAAATATTAGATGAAATTTTATATGTGGAAAAAAAAAAAAAAAAGGTGGAAGATATTTTCATCTCAATATCACTTCTCTCGATGATTAAAGGCATATATATATATATATATATATATATATATATATATACTTCAAAAATTAAAGCTCACCTGTAGACCCCTCTTACATTATCATCCCTATTTATTTAGGGACAAGTCTTGGGAGTTGGGATACAAATTAACATAGCCCCTTGTTTCCTTTCATATTTTTCATCCACTCATTCATCACCCCCACCAACATTTGCGTTATTGAGGTCAATAATTCATTGGAAAACCAGAGATAACAAAATGATCTAGTGCTCTACCACACCACACCATTAATAGTGGAT